GTGGGTCGTTCGGTTTTTATCACTCGTGCGAGCGAGGGGTATAGGCATCCCTACATTTCTTGCCCCCACCAACGTGGAAGGGAAACCGTGAAGAGAAGAAGTAAAAAAGAAGACTAAGAGGAAGATGTAGCGGTTAGGGAGAAGAAAGCTCACAAGCTAAGAAATTCTCAGGTTTAAAATGGCCACTCTCCAAAACTCCTACACAAAGAAATTTAACCAATATATATAGGAGAAAGAGGGGAAAAAAGTAATTATTAGCCCACATAAATGTGCCTCCAAATCAGCCAATAAGAACCACCAACTCAGCTCATTCAACGAGGAATTTGTTATGCTTGAACCGGCCCAGGAGGGGCCGGCTGGACCCGGTCCGACCCGGGTCTAGACCAGGCGGAGGCGGAATCAGGAAAGGGAGGAGGGCGGACAAGGTGGGCCCCACTTGGGGCTGATTTGATTATGTGGGAGGGAAAATTTTGAATGCAAAGGGTTGTTTAGGTATTTTGTAGGAATCCTTTATTGTTAATTAGGAGGATTATGAGGGAAAGGGGGTTATCTTGAATTTGGATGTAATTTGAGATCTAGAGTTTTCTTGCTTGGGCACTTGGCGTTACCGGAGATAGTTGGAGAGTTATTCTTCCTCTCGAATCGAAGAATATTGTATCTTGCCTTTGTTTTGATCATCTAGTAGTGGAATACAAGTCCATAGCTTGATTTTCTCTCAGATTTTCCTACAGATTTCTCTGTTTTCTACTGATTTCCTGCTGTTTGGGCTGTTTTCCTGCTGAAAACAGCAGATCTCTTGCTGTTTTCCACATCCGAATCGATAGGAATACTTGGATCTAAGTATTTCCTATCAGAATTAAGCTTCCAACACAGGATTCAGCAAAGGGGAAACCGAGCATACAGCAGGCAAAATCGAGCAACCACAGGAGAAAAGGAGTAGGAAAACACAAGTAAAAGGGCTATGGTGTGTACCAACCTGAGAGCACCAAACCCGACATGTTCATGGGTTATTTTTTTCATCATAGGGCCATACAAAATAAAATTACATAGCATTCAAAACATAAAAAAATAAAATAAAATAAACATAAAATGATAAATCTTGACTGCATCAGTTCCCATACAAACTGCAGAGTTTGGCACTCAATCCTCCCAAGGCTATCATCATTTTACACTCTAAAAGAGAGTTCTTTGGATTTGAGGGAATTGAGAGATATTAGAAGGCTTTCATAACTTCAAAATGGCTTCAGTAGGGCACGGTTGTCTGGTAGATCTAGTTAGTCTAATTAAGTCTATTCTGATATCATGGTTATTTTATTGTTTGCACATGTTGCCTCAACTATTTAAGTTGCTCGGCATTGGAGTCCTTTTTGTTAAAGATAAGACTGTTTATAACCTAATGCTCTCAAGCTATTTCTAAAAATAATACTTTTTTTAGATTGCTACTTAAGTAGTCATTTGAGAATTATGAGTTTGTTCATTTCTTAGCTTATTTATTTTCTTTTTAATTTACTGAGGCGCCCTCTTCACAAAAATGAAACATTTCATCATTGGAGCCACAGCGGTTAAGACTTGTGGATGGATTGATGTTTAATCCAAAAGAAAAGTTAGCCAAAATCAAATGAAATAAAACAAAAACGGATGACGAATGGTGGAAACTAGAGATGAGAGGACGGAGAACAAAGAAAAAAAATGATACAAACCACGAGCCCGGACTCTTCCTGCGGTTGGTGGGTACTACGTTGCCCTCCCCGAGGGAATTCAATCCACGAGCCCAGATCCATCCTGCGGCTGATGGAAACAAGATTGTCCTCCTATAGGACTTTTCCTCTCTAGAACTCACACACAGATCAAGACAAAGGCTCCAATTTTTTTTTATTAATCATCCATCATACCTCATACAAGAGAAGGAGCCTCTATATATAGGCCTCAAAAGAAACTAAAAGACAAATTTGCACCTTGGGCTTACATAAGAAAAAACTCTTAAATAAAAAGGGTAAAAGAAAATTGCAAAATTAAATTAAAATACAATTACA